ACTTCTGTGACAAAGTCTTTGCACTTTACTGGATAAAAAAACAGTTATTTTAAAAGAGACTACTGCTAAAATGTCTCTCTGGAGGATCCATAGTACTTAAGACATGCTTTAATGGATGCTAAAACACCCTCCCCCAAGGGATATAGATGTGGTCCAGACGCTCCAAGAAATGAGAAGATACCGCTCAGACAGACCAGCGCAGCAGAGGGAACAGGCACATGCCACTAATACCTGCACTGGGTAGGCTGACCCAGGACAGTCACACAGCATGTTCTGGACCAGCCTAGAGCGGGAGGGGCAGTCTGAGCTTATCACGTGACGTGTGAAGCTTCCTCCCAGTTCACGGCAGAGTCCTGCTCCCTCAAATCTTCCATAGGAGACTGAGACACACAGATTTTCAGTACAGAGTTCTTCTATCTCGCTTTCTTTTTGGAATTGAAGTTGATGAAGGGATCAGTCCTTGCACAAGAACAGTACACAGCAATAGGAACAAGGCCTCAGAGGACCACAAGGAAAACATTTCCAGAAACTTCAGAAACTGTGGGCAGCCTGACCCCAACAAGCTACATAAGCAGCGTTCTGTCCATATTAGTCTAAATCCTCTGGGTTTCAAGTCCTTGATAGTCAGTTGCTGTATAAATATCACGAGTAGTGATTAGCACCAACTGGATGAACACAGGCACCTTGGAGCCTGCTATCCAGAAGGGAAGACTGAGCTGTAACCAAATGACGGGATGCAACAGCAATACCTCTAGGCTTCATTGAGGAGAACAGTTTTGCACTTAAGAGCAAATTCCTCTTCTTATTCCAATCAAACATTAAGAATTAACGAAGGATGTATGTGCCAAGTACTGAATGGACTGAAAAAGAATCTCTGTTAATAACAGAGATGATCCCTGGCCTCCCAGCAGTTCATGGGGAACTGAGACTAGTGAAAGCAGGTGACACTCACTGATCATGTGACAGATTCTAGACTTTCCTCTGAACATTTTATGTACATTGTTGCTGTGGTTCTTCAGAACAACCCCATGGACTAAATATTTTTATGCTCACTTTATTGATGATGAAACGGGCCTTGGAGGGTGTGAAAGATTCTCTGGGATACACAGTTGTTAATTAATACACATGGAGTTGAATCCATCTGTCTGGCTTCTAACACTGTCAGTTAAAACACTTCACATTGCAAAGATAATGGTGGGAAAACACAGGTTATGACAAATGGCATGTAATGCTGAAGTCTTGAGGAGAGGGCAGAATGAGACTGAAATGTTCAGGAAAGTTGACACTGAGGAAGAAAGAGTGGCCTGAGCGTCAGGCCTGAGCAGATGTGGTGGACAGCTGAATCATCGTCAGGAAGGGGAGTATAGTACTGAAGAAGATGGTGAAGAAATAGGTTGGCCACCTAAAGGGCCTTCACTCTCCCAGGCATCAGTGGCTGCTTTCCTAGTGGGACTCCCATCTCCAGACTCTGTCAAAAACCTCAAAATCTACAGTTCTCATTTTCCCAGCTGTGCCACTGACATCTTCTACAACACACTACCTACTTGTTCGCTCAACGTGAAATTAGTGGGTTGTGTAAACTAAACACTATATATAGTTCCTTCAAGTTTCTTTTTAAGCTAATGGTTCCATAAAAATATTCACCAATGTATTCATACATATCTTAAAAGATAAAAGGAAAAATTAGAGTTGATAAAGTATTTTTCAAGATGATGGCTGGATTGCCTCTCATGTCTGGCAGAAGCTGGTCATTTTTGTCCCAGGATACAAGCAGCGATTGATTTCATCTTCCTGAGAACCTGAAAAGACACAGGCCTGGTGTTACCACACTGGGAGCCTCAATCATGTGCCTGTAGTTGTTGGCTTGGTGAGTAGGTGGGCATCATGGCTGCCAGCAGAAGGCCCGGGGAGGTGAGAAAGGTGGATTTGGCAGACAAGTCCCCATGAGAGTCTGTCATCTGTTATTTTCCAGTTTCAGAGGCATCACCTTGGATTTTGGTCTTTTTGTAAATCTCATGTGAAATTTAGATGAAATATAATCTTTGGAAATGATATAAACGGTTGAGGTGTTTTTTCCTAAATTAGCTTTTGTTATAGACTTTCTCGAAATGCCTATGTTAGAGGAAGAGAAAGGAACTCGCTCAAAATAGTAAGTGCTATCATGGTTTGTTGGACCAATACCAATACATTTGTGAAAGAAGCTTAGGCCATTGCCTCTGCTTCTTGCCTTGTACTGGGAAGTTTTCTCTGTGTGTCCCTGGTACTGACAGCAAAAAATCTGACCCAATTAGACTCCTCATCCTCAGACATCATGTGCCATTCAGAATGTCATGCAGGTTGAGTAACTCATGCTTCCTTCCTCATTTCATGCGTTATGCAAAGCCAGTCTTTGTTTATCCATGTTTGTTTATTCATTCATTTATTCATTTCTAAGTCAGGGGGTCTCACTTCATAACCCTTGAACTTTCAGCCCTCCTATTTCAGCCTTTTGAGTAGTGGGACTAGAGGCATGAGCTACCACACCTAGCTTTTCTCCTTTCTTGATCAAGACTGTTGAGTTTGTTATTTGGTGAAAACATGGTTTACTTGAGGAAGAGAATCTGTTGTTGTAGAGAGATTCCTTATGACTAGCCTATGTGAAGAGCCTGTAAAGAAAAGAACTCTTTCAAGTCCAGAAGAGCTGAGTAGCTTTTGGGCTGGAGCCTTCTATCCATTCCGTGGTATTTCTGTCTATGTTCTCATCAGTTTTATAAACATCCAAATTGTGCCTGCAATTAATCTGCTCCTCTGGAACCCACTTAGTCCTTCCTTTCAACTTCTGATGTATCCCTCAAACATTCAACCACCAGGAAATCTATATTTATATATATTTATACTTCTGGGCAGGATGTTTTTAAACCCACTTTTCCTTCACAATCATTTTAATACAGTGCCCCTACACGTTAGTGTTAAACCCTGGTATTGTATTTGTTTCATCAGCAACACTACAATTTAGTGCCATTACTTAGAAACCTAATGCTTCAAGTGGGACCCCACTCCTTGCTGACTCCCAGGTAGTCTGTCTTTAGTGTTCAGCCATGTCTCCTCTCTATTGCTAGCCTAGGCCTTGGCTCTCTTCATGATGTTTCCTTGCTTATAAAATGGAAATAATAAAAGTACCCCACCTCTTAGGATTGTTTGATTAAATACATTACTGTACAAAACTTCCTATCAAAAGTACTTAGCAACTGTGTTACTGTGTTAGTGAGCCAAATATCCTGTTGATTGACACAAAGGTCTTACTCACTATTTTTCAAAGTGGTGTTTTTGGTTCAAAAGGATTTAGCACAGTGGCTGAAGAAAGCTGCAAAATTTGGCTCTGTGATTTCAAGCCTCAGTTAGATTTGCTAATTTAAAATATTACAACAATTGAAAGGAAAAACTACGTGCGTTTCTTTTAGTTCAGGTCTGGTGGGTTCAACATAGTTATTTGCATTGAAAGGCAATAATAGCACTATTGTTTTTATTTCTTAAGAAGAAAAGCAGATTTCTTCCTCCCAGTTGTCTCATGGGAGTACTTTGGGGGCATGGGGACAAGCACATGAGACCATCACATCTCTTTTACCAAAAATGGACACATAATATTTTAGAAATGTTAAAAAGGAGAAGCAGGGCAAGAGCTTGGCTTAGAAGAGATCGAGATAAGTTGATTTTAAACAAGTGATGGTTAAAGGGAAAATAAAGCATCTTATTTAGAAACAACTTTATGAAATTAGAAGTGTGAAAGCCAAAGACCGTAAGTAAAGTGAGGGTAAGAAGGCAGACATAAAAATCTTGGTGTTCTAAAGCTAAACTCTAAAACCATGCAAACCAACATCTCCCTGGGGAGACAGATACAGAAACAGAGCATGAGGCTCAGTCTTCTCACTTCTGGGCAGGGTAGGTTTTTTTTTTTTTTTTAGGTTGTAATATATATATATATATATATATTTTTTTTTTTAAATTATAGTTTAATCGCTTTGTATCCCAACTGTAGCTCCCTCCCTCATCCCCTCCCAATCCCACCTTTCCTCCCTCATCTCTTCCCATGTCCCTCCCCCAAGCCACCTGGTAGGGGAGGTCCTCCTCCCCTTCCATCTGACCCTAGCCTATCAGCTCTCATCAAGACTGGCTGCATTGTCTTCCTCTGTGGCCCAGTAAGGCTGTTCTTCACTCAGGGGGAGGTGATCAAAGAGCCAGCCACTGAGTTCATATCAGAGACAGTCCCTGTTCCCATTACTAGGGAGCCCACTTGGAGACTGAGCTGCTATGGGCTACATCGGTACAGGGGGTCTAGGTTATCTCCATGCATGGTCCTTGGTTAGAGTATCAGTCTCAGAAAAGACCCCTGTGCTCAGCTTTTTTTGTTCTGTTGCTCTCCTTGTACAACTCCTGTCCCCTCCAGGTCTTTCTCTCTCCCCCTTTTTTCATAAGATTCCCTGCACTCTGCCCAAAATTTGGCTATGAGGCTCAGCATTTGCTTTGATACCTTATTGGATAGAGTCTTTCAAAGGCCTTCTGTGGTAGGATCCCATTCTATTCCCTGTTTTCTTTCCTCTTCTGATGTCCATCCCATTTGCCTTTCTGAGTGAGAATTGATCATCTTACCTGGGGTCCTCCTTCTTGCTTAGCTTCTTTAGATGTGCAGATTTTAGTATGTTTATCCTAATGAGGACATTTGCTCAACCATGTTCATAGCAGCTTTATTAGTAATAGCAAGAAGCTGGAAACAACCCAGATGTCCCTCAACTGAGGAATAGATACAGAAATTGTGGTACATTTACACAGTGGAATACTACTCCGCAATTAAAAACAAGGAAATCATGAAATTTGCAGGCAAATGGTAGGAACTAGAAAAGATCATCCCGAGTGAGGTGTTCCAGAAGCAGGAAGATACACATGGTATGTACTCACTTACAAGTGGGCAGGATGTTTTTAAACCCACAGTGCCTTTGAAATTGTCCTTTTGACTTTTCTTTCAGAATCAAGCTCTCGGATACCATATGTTGCCGTATCAATAGGGGTCATTATAATCATCATCCTGGTTTCCACTGCAATAATGTTCAAAAGACAAGGTAGGATATGTTACAAGAGGGGAATTCTTACCGGCCTCCCAGTGATACATGGAATAGATTTTCCACAAGCACAGACTCTTGTATACATACAGATCTTTTATGCTCTCACTGTAAGCATGGACTCAGTCTCATCACCTTAGCTTTCTGGCTGGGGGCCCCTGTGAAAAATACTAAATAAATGCACCTTGAGCTCTTGTCCAGGTCACCTCAGTCCTAGTCTGTTGAGCCTCTAGGTGAAGGGGATCAGTAGAGGAAAGCCACAAGTGCCTAATACAGAAGACATTGTGCAGATAATTTAAACTCAGCACTGGAGTTTGGCTTGTCCAGAGGCTAAAGAAATCAAAACAGGAGGCATCCCACACTGATATTTACTAGAGAAGAGAATTCAGAGAACTCTTGGATCCATGAAACATGACCCAGGGTAAATTAAAAGCAGTAAGGCTGTGATTCTAAGTTTCAATGCTCGGTATTTCTTCTAAACTGCCCTGTGATTCACTATCTCAGGGCAATGTGCTCCCTCAGCCTCACTGGTTACCTACCATTCACCCGTCTGGATCGTAGCATCCTGGACACGGATGTCCTGGCTGGCCTTCCCTTAGTGAGGGCAGCACTCGATGGCTCTTGTCATCCTCAAGCAGATCAACATCATCGGCGTACAGTCTTCTTAGAAAAGCCTTACCTCAGCACGTTCATGTTGCTTATAAGCTGTCGATCGCAGCACACATGCCTGCCTCTGTCTCATTTCCTCCATCGAAGGTGGGGGAGGGGCGTGCTATTCAGCTAAAACTTCGATTGAGAGCTAAGGGTCTGAGAGTGGATCCACTTAGCTTTCATTGTAGGAAAACAGGGACAGGTTCGGGAGCTAAGAAAGCAGATGGAGTTCCCCATCTAGCCGAGCGAAGGTGTGCTAGCCTTTCACACATACCCCTCATTGCGTTCTGCTCAGCACACGGCTGAGCCCTGGGGGAGCAGTACTTCCTTTCCTCCCAAAGCCCACTCCCACCACCCTCAAAACACACACCCAGCTTTTCCAGGCACCGTTTATGCCTTGTAATCCAGTGCCATACAAACCTGTGCCAAAATCTACATTTAGTTGCTGCCTCCTCCCCGAAACATTGCTCAAGAGATTCTGCTGGCAATGTCTAGTAGTGTCTTCTCCAAAATGCTGCCTGACTCTGAAGAGTTTTAAGTTGGTTCTGGCAAGCTCATCTCCAGGAGAATACACCAGTTAAGAGTGTGGGCATTGGGCAGTGTGACGTGAGCCTAGCTATAGTAACTGCTGCTTACAAGTCTGAGGCAGGAGGATCATCCCAGCCCGTGGATTCTGAAGCAGCCCTGAGCTACATAGGGAGACCCTGTCCCAGAATAAAGAAATGAAAACATGGGGGTTTGGCCTTAGACAAAACTCAAATGCAGACTTTGCCACCAGGGAGGGAGCTGTGTAATCAAGCAAAGTGCTTATCATCTGCAAAGCAAGGATATTATGCCCTTTGTGGTATTGCTGTGGCAATTGGCAAACCAATACACAGAAAGCACCACTCAGTGGTTTTCCTGGATGATGCAGAAGTATACACACACATCTATACACAGATATATCTCCTGATATCAGTAGATAAAGCTTTGAGTCTTAAGGCCAGCCGAGGACTACACTGGAAGATTTTAGAAATGGTACTTACAGCAGGTGTAAAGTACTTGAAGTTAAGGTCACATGAGGCAACTTCTTAGGCCGGGCAATGGTGGTGCACATCTCTAATCCCAGCACTCCAGAGGCAGAGGCAGGCAGTTTGAGGCCAGCTTGATCTACAGAGTCAGTTCTATAACAGCCTGGGCTACACAGAGAAACCCTGTCTTGAAAAACAAAAATAAACAAATAAGCAAAAAAGACATCTCCCTTCATGTGAGAGCTGAAGAAAACAATAATGGCTTATGTTCTGTTTTCACAACTACAGCATGTAAGGAGCTCCACTGAGATAACTTAAGCTGTTCAGGTCCATGTCACAGATGCTCCTGCTAGTTTTAAGGCCGTGCTCCAGGGCTTCGATCTTTTCCATTACATCCTAAGGCCTGGCTAACTCGGAGCCAAGCCGAACTGGCTCCTGAAAATCTGCTTCTGTACTGAAAGAGAGAAGTAAGGGAGTGAGGGAGGAAGGGGAGGAGGGAGAGAGAGATGGAAGGAGGGAGGGAGCAGAGAGGAGAATCTAAATCTTTGGATCCAGTGGTCTTTTTTATTATCTGGAACTGTCCTACCAATTCTAAATTACATCCTGATCTGGTCTGCAAATTGAGAGCCCCTAAAGACTTGAGTCCATTCTAAATTTGTATCCCTGACCACACCTAAAAGGGGGCTGGGCAAGCAGGTCTCTCTTTGCAAACCCTAGAGGATTTGAAATGAAAGAATATCTCATAGAACTACTTTGCATCCTTCTCCTACCCCCAACCATTTCTGAAAACCTATGATCCCTACCCTCCAGTTCTTTCTCTTCCCCTCTCTCTCTGTCTCTGCTATCTCTGACTCTGTTTCTCTGTGTGTCTCTATCTCTGTCTCTATCTCTCTCTGCCTATCTGTCTGTCTCTGTCTCTTTCTGTATCTGTGTTTCTGTGAGTCTGGTGTCTGTCTCTCTCTGCCACACACACACACACACACACACACACACACACACACCAGTGAGATTAGAACCCTCAGGCATGCTATGCCTGAGAAAAATCACCCACTGCTTTTGCTCGAATTCCTTGAACTTCCCTGTGTCTGCCCATCATTTCCTCCCAAAGAACCACACCCTCAGTACCATTTCCCATTACAGTCACATCACAGACTAGGCATTTCTCCTCCAGACCAAAGTGTGCCTCTTGGAGATAGTCTCTCAGTGAAGTGCTTCCAGCTTCTGAAGAGGATAAATTAATTGACATTAGTAAGTTTACCCAAACGACTCTGGTTTCTTCTGGGCTCAGCTTCCGTGCTCGGCCTAGATCTTGCAACAACCCCCTGTGAGCCCTCTACGGGTCAGGCCCCTGCCTTTCCACATGCTCACTGGTGCATGGTGCATGCAAGGAGAGGAGTTCAGTGTTAGAAAAAGCGCATGTTTGATGAAAAGCCTCTGAACACATTTTAAGTGAAAAGGTCAGTTTAGAGGGATATGTGAGTCGAATGGCACCATTTGTATAAAAAGAGAGAAAAGCCTACGAACTATAATCCATATCTAGAACTGCACCACCCAGTAGCTAATTAAAGTACTACTAAGTAAGCAGTTTCTCAGTTTCACTAGTCCCACAGTTCAAGTACTCGCTTGCCACTTGTGGTTACTAGTCTATGCAGAGGGAATAGTTATGTCTTCACAGAAAGTATGATATTGCCCAAAGATAGACATGCAGGAAACTTTTTAAATTGGTTACTTCTGAGAATGAGATAGTGTTGATTAATGAGGGAGTTATAGGTTATAGTCTGGTACATTTCTAGCCAACTTGAATTTTTATGATGAGGAGTTTCTTTATAATTAAAAAAAAAAAAAAAACTTGACTGTCAGCTAAAAATTAAAATGTTTTACAACTCATGAGTTTACAGGGACCCCAGATCCTGAGCTAGTTTTCTAGATTGTGAGCAGGAGAATGACGCTGCTGAATTGTTTTTCAGACACTTCCAAGAGGAGCTTCCCACCTATGGCACCATCCCACACACACACAGCAAGCCCTCCAGAAACAGGCCGACGAGAAAGCTGTGAGTGAAGCAACATGCTGCCAGCTGGAGAGTAAAAGACACGCCATAAATAACAAGCTGTGACCTCAGAAAACCTAGAACCCTATTAGCAGAGCAGATCCACACAAAAGTAAAGATGAAAGTAACTGAGTGGCACGGCGAAGAAATAGCACCCGTGCATAACTCAGAGTCATGGCGTCTCCTCCAAGCCTGCCACTTGGGAGGCGGAGGCGAGGAGAATTTTGAGTTTGAAGCCAGCTTGGGCTATAGAGTGAGGTCCTGTTTTGTTGGGGGGTGCAGTGGGGGTGGGGGAGAAGGAAGAGGAAGAGGGAGGGGGAAGAGAGATACAGAGGTGTTGAGGGAAAAATGCTCAGCACCTTTTAGACATTTGCTATCTGCTGGTGTAACTGGTGTAGATGCTTCACAGGCATCATCTCATTTAATCTCTACAGTAATCGTATGAGATGGGCATTTCAAATCCCATCCGATAGGGAGGGACACGGGCCTAGACAGATCAAGTAGCCAATCCAGTGCTATAAACGAATGAGCAGAGGGTGGGAACTAGTGCCTTCTTCCTGTGGCAGTGCTGGGGAAGGTGACTATGGTGTGGACAGGACTGAGCTGGGGGCCAGAGGCAGATAACCATGGTGTTTCTTTCTTTCCAGGTAAAACAAAGCCCTGCCAACCACCAGTGGAAGAAAAGGGCCTTACTATTTATGCCCAGGTGCAGAAATCAGGGGTAAGTTCTATGCTGTCCTTGGGGCGTGTCTGTCATATTTCCACAGGATTCCTGACTAGAGGTCCCCGCACACATTCATGGTTGTGCAAGGTTCTAGAGTAGATGAAGTTAGGAAAGCAGAAAAGTCGAGAACAGGAGCTCCCCCTAAAAGTCGTTAAGCCAGCGTCAGCGGGTCTCTGTATGGTTTGAAATAGGAGAAAACACTGGGCGATCTAGTCACCTGCTTCTCCCTAATAATGAGGTGGAGGTGTACACACAAGACCTTGGATGCTTTGTGGCATTCTAGGAGTCTCCACTGCATGTCCACAGGCTTCCTTCTTGAAGCATGCAGGTTTGGGGAAAGAGGGAGAGGCGTGGAAAAGCTATTGTGTGGCACACTGGCCTGATCCTGATAACGCCATCTGCAAAGTACAAGCAGGGCCAGAAATGGAGGATCTTGACAATTCTAGTCAGAGGGGACTCTGACGTGTTGAATGAGGAGGAAGGAAAACAAAACCGAGGTAACATGGCCACTGAGCTAAGAGAGGAGTGATGGGAAAACATGAGACATGATGGAGTCAGGGAACAGATATGTTAGCAGTAACAGGTAAGGAGTCTAGAGGATCCTTGTCAGATAGACACTGGTTTTCCAGGCATAGTTAGTTCTAGGCATAGTTAGTCCAGAATCTGGCCATTCAGGAGGTGGTAGAGGTATATCATTGCGTAAAGGTGATGAAGATAAAGATAATTACATAATAATACAATAAATTCCTTTCTGAAGACCAGGAGGCAGTCCGGAGCAAATTTCTTTCGGCTGCCTGCTGATGGCCTGCTGGGTGTAATGCATCATCCAAAGACCCCTATTGAGAACAAACCTCCATTTAAAACCGTGAGGGCCCCAACAGTACCCTCTCACCCAAATGTGTGCTTAGCCGAGGCTGGATGTATCCTTTAGAATCGGCTTCTCACGTATTACCAAAAAAAAGAAAAAAGAAAAAGGATTGCATCAAGCCTACTGACCTACTTGAGAAGACAGTGCATCTTTCAGTTTGAGTCCTCCACCTAAAACCCCACCCACACGCCAGGTCCTCCAGAACACCTCTGCACCGCAGCTCTGTCTCCTCCCCAGAGATAACCACTATCCTGCCTTCTAGAAATATGAATCACATTTTTTCTTTTCTTGGCCCTCACAAAAAAGAGTCCATTGGTATTTTTTTTCTTGCATCTGGTTATAAATTCATGCATGTCTTTGAACTCAGGATGCACACATTCTCATTGGTGGATCGGCTCTCAGTGTGTTGATGTGCAATCTGAGAATATATTTATCTAGTTAGCTATTAATGGGCATCTGCGTTATATCCTGTTTGAGGTCATTATGAAAATTATAGTTAGGAAATTCATATGAATATGTCTACATAGTTTGGAAGGCACACACCTAGAAGTAGATTTGCTGAATGATAAATCATTTGAATTCTCCAATTGACTGGTTAAGACTAAATTGTTCTTCAAACTGGGTGTCATTTTACTTCTTCAATAAATGAGTTTTAAAAGTTGTACACGCTAGCCAGAATTTGTGACTTTTAGCCCTTTTATCCATACCAGTTGGGGGGTCTTACTATAGCTTTGTTTTCTTAATAAGTAACAACTTTTCATATGTTTATTGCCATGTTAAAATCATCTGACTTTCAAATCTCTTACCCATTTACCTTTGAATTTTAGGCCTTTTAAAAAATTAGTGTAAACCAAAAGGCCATTTTAAAAATGAGCCCTTTAGAGGTTAAATCCATGTCTTCTCCAGTAGGTCTTCCTGAGAATTACAAAGACGAGCCACACATGATGTTTTTTCCCAGTTGGTTTCTGGGTCAAATTGGTCTGTCATCCTTCTTCACCCACAGTGACTTTGTGAGGTTTTGATTATCACGATTACGCTAACCTTAGAAACGGTTGAAGGCTTGTATTCTTTCCCTCAAGCTGCCCAAGGAAATCATTACAAACTTGGTGGTTTAAACAACCAGAATTTAGTTTACATCAGTTCTGGAGACTACAGGTCTAAAATGAAACTGATATATGGCAGGACCACCAGCCCTCTGGAATCTGTTGAGAGAACTCTTTGCCTCAGTGTGTGTGATCTGATGGTTCCAGGCAACCTTCCACTTCTGCTGCTCTGTGACTGCACCATAATTTCTGCCTCCATCTCCAGGAAACTTTCCCATATGTGCCTCTGCCTTATCCTTCCCACCGTCAGGACATCCCCCACTGGGTGCAGGGCCCACTCTGATCTAGTGGCCTCACCTTGATGTTCTGGCCTTATCGGGGGAGGCCTTAATTCCATGCAGCGATACACCCTGACTCTGGTGGTGCATATCTTTTGGGAGCCATGATTCAGCATTTTCTTTCTGTAATTCTGTGGAAATGTTTGGGTAGAACTGATCATATTTCCCCCTGTATATATTTGGCAGAACTTATTGGTGAGAGTCTCTGAGACTGTAGTTTCTTTGATGGAGACTTTTTTAAATTATATTTTTATTATTCCACTTTATTCTCTGTTGCATTAGTAATTAAATAAGTGTTTTCTCTATTTTTAGTGATACCCCAGAAAGTATAAAATATATCCCTGACTTCTTAAAACACATTTGTTTCTTTTATTTTATTGTACTCCAGTACAATACTTTAACTACACTATAATTTTGCATTTTGATTTATGTTCTATTTCATTGTTTCTTAATTTATATGTATTTTAAATATAAAACATTATCATTGTTTTATATATCAATATGTACAAACTTACTCACATGCTTACAATTTCCTTCATTTTATTTATCATGCTTATATTATTACATCATTATAAAAATAATAACAGAAATTTATTCAAAAATTAGCATTTCTTTTATTTTCACCATAATTGCTGTGCAATATCTTTATAAAGAACATAATAACAGCCTGGTGTCATGGTGAATGCCTTTAATCCCATAAGGCGAAGGCTAGTGGATCTCTATGAATTGGAGGCCAGTTTGGTCTATATATCAAGTTCCAGCCCAGCCAAGGCTACACAGTGAAATCCTGTCTCAAAAAAGCAAAACGTAATAACATAGAAAATTAAACAACTTTCGGTTACCTGGTAGGATAACCACTCCAGAGCTCATCACGGCTCCTGCCTTCCGCTGTTTCTCAAGGGCTCCCATCCACAAAGAATACGCAGAAATACGTTATACACCTGAGGTTGCTCCAGTGTGCTATCCCTGGGGACATGAAAGTCAGTGACCCTGAAGACTGAGGCAACAAAAATGTGGGACATTGTTAAAACTGTGTTTGAAGTGACTCCTAATACCTAGATAAGAATCCTAAAGAGAAATTCAACAACATAGTCCCAATACAGCTCTGGCTGATTTTTAGTACACTCTTTTTTTGTAAAATTTCCCATTTGAATACAGAGAGCTTAAGTTATTCAATCCACCCTTTATCCCTACATTTAGGCCAAGCCACACTAAAATTCCCCCAACCAACAAGAGAAGCAAGGAGTGCATCTGTGAATAAAAGTCGATTAGTGAACTGTTTTCACCTGCTTCTCACCCCTCTCGTCCCTAATCAGAAATTCTTCCTTAAATTAAATTTTTTTTCTCCAAACTGTGGTATCTAAGAAATGTATGGCAATTTTGACAATCTTTTTGTTGTTGTTGTTGTTGTTTTGTTTTGAGACAGCCTTAGCTGTCCTGGAATTGCTTTGTAAACCAGGCTGGCCGCCAACTCACAGAGATACCCCTGCCTCTGCCTCCCAGTGTTGGGATTACAGGTACTTGCCGCCACACCTGGCTGACAAACTTTTTCCTTTTTTTTTTTTTTAAGCACTAATGAGGGACAAAGTTGCCTTGGGAGATTGTGAGCTCTAAGATATAACTCAGGCAGGGAGTTGATAGAGTGAGCTTCGGGAAAGACTGGGAGAATTCTCACCAGGGAGGAAGTTAGAGGAAGTGGCTAATGAGGTTTTGAACTTGGACTGCTTTTCTGTGGGGCCAAGCTGGATGTGCCCCAGCTTTCTGCTCAGCTAATCTGTTTTCTTTGCTTCTCCTGTAGCCTCTAAAGAAGAACCTCGATGATGCCCTGACAGATTGGGAACCCTGCACGACCATCTATGTGGATGCCACAGAGCCTGCACCAGAGTCTATTCAGGTGAGGTATCTCTGCCCCTCCTCGCTGAATATCTGATAAGAGGCAGAGAAGAGGCCGGGGCCGGGGGGGGAGGTTGCTGCTATTTATTTTATTTTTGAGTAAAGGTGAAGTGAAACACGTTGGTGAGCTGTGGAGGAGAGAGTGGTCCAGCTGACACAAGTAGCAAGGAGCATCTGTAGCCGTGATTAGTTAGGACTTACACAAAACCCTTCATTCCAGCTCACAAGCTGAGAGCAACTATCTACTGGCTGTTTTGGCTATTCCTTCTTTTACCGTTTCCTATCTACCATGATGTGAGCTCTGTCTTTTTTTTTTTTTTCTTTGACTCTCCTCACCTCATAGGAAGTCTGTTAACTATTTTTATCTTACTGTGACCAAAATACCTAAGAGAGCAACTTGAAGGGAGATTTTTGTTGGCTTAGTTTCAGAGGATAACGTCTTTCAGCACAGAGCAGGGCATAGCAGACACCCTGATTTAAATGAATTTCTTCCAAAGGAGAAGTGTTAGTGGAGAAGAGGAAAGAGGAGGACAGGGAAGGAGAAGGCCAGTCTTTAGATAACAGGGACAAATCTCTTATTTCCCTGATGGTACACTCACACTTAGAAGAGAGCTATACCCCTATTTGCAGCTATACCCCTATTTGGAGACCTGTCCAGACAGTGACAGATTCTGAGCATAATGCTATGTATGCCACATGATTTCCCCCAGAGAATGCCATTTTGTTCACTGTCTGTGAAACGTCTCTCCTCTGTTCCATCACTCATGAACTTCTTTGCCCACAGGAAACAAATCCAACCACAGTTTATGCCAGTGTGACACTACCAGAGAGCTGACCCATAGATCCCATGAAAGGACTTTTTTGAAGAAAAACAGACGAAGCAAAACTTCTGAACTTGGCCCCATGTCCCAAGTTCTCTGTGACAGAAACTGCACGTCTGTACCCTCCTCCAATCAGTTTCCTGGAGATAGATATGCACAGGAGTACCTGCGTGGAAGTGAGGATTTCCACGCGTGTAACCTGCTCTGCAGCTGATGCCGACACAGAGCAGAGATCCATGTTTTCTGCAGCAGATAAAATGCATAATGTGAGTTCAGACAGCGCAGTCTTTGCTGGGTTGGATAACAGAACCCAAAGACCAAAAAAAAAAAAAAAAAAAAAAAAAAAAAAAAAAAAAAAAAAAAAAAAGAAAAAGAAAAAGAAAAAAGAAAGAAAAAAAAAGAGGCTCTGTGCCTCAGTTTCACTCTCCGGTTAAAAAGGGAATGAAGCATAAAGAATGAATTATTTGTTGTCTCAGATCATTCTATAAAAGAACTAGTATTTTATTTGCAAAACTTAAGCTAATAAGTCAATAGACTGAAGATGACTTTGAAGTCTCTAAGCTTTCAGAGATACAATGGAAACCATCCCAAGTTCTTCAATGGATAGTTCTGGCAAGCAGTGTTCTGCTTAAATCCAAGTAAGCAAGTGTTTTGTAACACTGTTACAAAGTAACCTGGGATACTGAGAGGAACTTGTTCCAGGGAGGTTTTTCACTTCTCCAAGGGACTTTTGAGTCTAAGTTCTCTATTTACTGCCTTGAGCAAAACCCTGGATTCTTAAGATTCTCCCTTTGTTGGTTCTGAGGCCATTTTTTTAGCCTAGGCCTTCTGTGGAATTGCAAGTCTACCAGGAACTTCTTATCAAACTGTTACCTCTGTGTAAAATTTAATTCAAATAGAAAATTAAATTATTTTGATCAAACAGTTTCAAATGATTGGATGTTCAATCACACAGATAACAGAATGCAGGCAGAAAAATTCTCCGTACACAAAGTCCAAAAGACTTTACATAAGCTCATATGTAAAGTCTTCATGTTGTCTGCCCTCAGAGAGGCTGTCTTTCAACCTACCGCCATTCTTGCACAACTTAGTCAACTATTTAAAAAAAAAAATAACCATTTTGGAGCTGGGGAGAGGTCTCAGTGGATAATAGTACTTGCTTTGCAACCATGAGTATCTGAATTCAAACTCCGAGTATCCATGTAGAGAGATGGGCATGGCTGAGCATGCCTATAACACAGACACAGACAGGTCCTGTGACCCTGGCAGCTAGTCAGCCCAGCCAGACAGAAACGTCTGAGAGTGACAGAGGAAGAAGCTGACATCCTTCTCTGGTGCCTACACACACACACACACTCACTACGTCCACCTACATATACATACAAAAACCCTGTTGTATTCTTGCATAACAAAGAACACCATCTACCCAGCTAAGAACTCTGATTTCCCATTGCCCTGTACCTTTCTGTATTTAAACAATTTACAGTGTAAGTCCTGTTCTTCTGTGTATCCTATTTTGTGGTGCTAAATTCTGTAAAAGGGATTCCTAATTATAATCCACAAAGCTAACTTTGGATTTTTTTAAAATTTTATTTTATTAATTACACTTTATTCACTTTGTCTCCCCCCATAAGCCCCTCCCTCCTCCCCTCCCGATCCCACCCTCCCACATCTTTCTTCACGCATGCCCCTCCCCAAGTCCACTGATAAGGGAGGTCCTCCTCTCCTTCCTTCTGATCTTAGTCTATCAGATCACATCAGGAGTGGCTGCATTGTCATCTTCTGTGGCCTGGTAAGGCTGCTTCCCTCCTCAGGGGGAGGTGATCAAAGAGCAGGCCAATCAGATTAAGTCAGAGGCAGTCCCTCTTCCCATTACTATGGAACCCACTTGGACACTGAGCTGCCATGGGCTACATCTGTGCAGGGGTTCTAGGTTATCTCCATGCCTGGTACTTGGTTGGAGTATGAGTCTCTGGGAAGACCCCTATGTTCAAATTTTCTGGTTCTGTTGCTCTCCTTGTGGGGTTAGGGTTAGGGATCTGTCCTCTCCAGATCTTACTATTTCCCACTTCTTACATAAGATTCCATGCACTCTGCCCAACAGTTGGCCATAAGTCTCAGCATCTGCTTTGATTTTATGTAAGATAGAAACCTATTGAAAATATGTCAGTTGGGTCAAATAACTACTAGGATATTCCGAAAAACTTTATTAGAGTTCTCTAGAGCAACAGAACTTATAGAATGAATATGACTACATACATACATACATACATACATACATACATACATACATACATACATACATAAATACATACATACATACCTGGGGATTTATTAGAATAACTTGCAGGCTTCAGTCAAGCTAATCTAACAATGGCTGGCTATGAGCAGCCAGAATCCAAGAATCCAGTAGTTGCTCAGTCCACAAACTTGGGTGTCTCAGCTGGTCTTCCATAGATTCTGGAATACCAAAGAAGTATGTGCTAATGCCAGTGAAGGAATGGATGGGCTAGCAAGGTGAGGGCGACCAGGCAAAGAGCAAAAGCTTCCTTCTGCCATGTTTTTATATAGGTTTCCAGCAGAAGCTGTGGACCAGATTAAACTTGTATCTTCCCACCTCAAGGTCTGGGTCAAAGGTGTGAATCTTCCTACCTCAAAAGTCTGGAATAGAATAGATTCATCTAAGTAAAAATAATCTCTCACTAGTGTGCCCTCCAGTTCTGGATTGTCATTCATCCCAGATGAATGCCATCAAGTTGACAACCAAGAATAGCCATCACATTTTCTTTGAAAGCAAGGAGAATAAAGGAAGAACAGGCTGTAGCTAGGACCATAGTCAAACTCGTAAAGCTACTCTAGGGACAGTGATGCTGGGTGCCACTATTTTGTGACCATTGTCTTCAACCTAGGCATAGACTCCACCCCTGCCTGCTGCTGCTTCTGCACTTAGTAACGTGATAATAGCAGTCGTTACTGTTGCATTTTCCATGACAAAAATAACTACACCCTCCTTCATCTTTTCATCTTTAGCTTCTAGTGAAACATTTGATACTCCAGAATGGCCAACCCTAGGTCATATGTGCACATCATACACCTCAAGGGAGACTACAAATTTGCTATCTGGAAGCTTCTATTTTGAAGTGGCTGGTGGACTCCACCTGTTATAAATTAGAAAGTTCCCCAAACAGAAGCGAGACTTAGGTGCTGGGCAGATCAAAAAATGTTCACTACATTCCCTTGTTTAATCTCAGACCAAAGATTTTTTTTTAATTCTTTGAAGATGTAATGTAACAACATATTTTGATCTTATTCACCCTAACTGCCTTCCTACAATTCCTCAAAGAACCCACCAACCTATTTCCCTTCTGACTCCATGCCCTCTTTACTATTATTACTATTATTATTATTATTATTATTATTATTATCAGTAGCCCTCTGAGTCCAGTTAGTGCTTACCCGATGAGAATGGGTATGAGGTCATCCAGTTGGGCATGGGCAGTCTACCAGTGCTCACATGCTCTAAAGAAAAGTAACTCATCTCCCAGCAGCCATCAAATGTGGACAACTCATCAGCTAAAGATAGGGCTCCTGCTCTCCATGATGGAATTTTGACTGGCTCAGTCTTGTGCACATGTTATATAGAAAACAACAGCTGCTATGATGTATGCATCAACCATATCATGTCTGGAAGACTAGCTGTCTATTCTGAAAACCATAGAGCTGCTTACAACACAGAGCTACTTACAAGCATGTATAGAGCGTGGAGTTACAAGCTCTCATTCATTTACTGCAATTCAGATGGCTCTAGAAGATCAGCTCCTAACCCTTGGGTTTTTCCTGTGGTTGAACTTGATGGAGATGTAGAAACCAAAGAGAATGAGATTCTATCCCCAAACTTCCCTGAATCCCTAGGCTCCACACCTCACTGAGGATGGGGACTATTAGAGGCAGTCTTTCTAGCTGCCCATCTGACAATGGTTGGCCTTTTATTTTTTTTTCTTCTGCAGTCCCATGCCCGGAAGAGAACCCTTTCCAGTACTATACTTGTGTACTTTAGTCTTCCCCGAATGGTCCCGAGTGAGTCAAGCTCACCTTTCCCTCAGGCTGACAGTATTAAAGAAAAGACTACAGTGTCAGAATTCCCCTTGTTGTTCTTCCAGTGTTGTTTTCTTTTGACTGGGCATATCTGAATTCTACAGAAGTCAGGAGGAACAGATCCATTCTCGGTTTTAAGAGACTAAAGCTCTGATGCCTGGGTGGAGTCTGCAGCTTCTTTAGGAGTCACACAGCCTGTGTGTGGTGGCGACAGGATGCACATGCTTTCAGAGAAGACACTGGATCCTCATTTCCCTCCTCCTACAATTTATCATTCTCCTACTTTCTATGCAGCCCAGGTCACCTTTGAACTCCCAATCCCCTAATTCAGCCATCCGATTACTAGGATTACTAGTGTGTTTGTACTTTTACTTTTGTGAATTTAATAAAACATAGTCAAGCGACCAGGAAAGGCTCTCTTCTGTTTTGCATTTCTTAGTATAGCGGTGGGGCTAGACATGTCTTACAGCCCACATCTCCACAGCCTTCTCTGTGAACAACCAAGGAAGCTGCTTTGGTGGGATGAGCTACGAGGTTTTGCTTCCCTAAGAGAGTGGACAAGAGTGAACCCAGGACCTCTCCCTCCACTAAAACCTGGGATCCACCCTCCTTACAGAGGATAGAATTATGTCTAAAGAGGGTTTGATTTTTGTCACTACCACAGTAATCCCCTTCTCTGAATTTCCCCCAAATTCCCATCATAGAGAAATCTGGAGCCAGACTTCTTGACTGACATTTGGCCTAAGGCAAGTTTTTGTCATGACATATTTAACAACATAGTTGCTTTCTACCCACTAGCTGCCATTAGCACACTCTCTGGCCTCCCTCTCTGTGACTGAAGATACTATTCAAACATCAGGCAGCACTTATGGTGTGAGACTCTGAATTTGAACCCCAGCAATGAAAAACATCAGCGTCCCCAGATATTACTAG